GGGGAAATGTCGTCTTTATGTGCGTCTCCTCCGTCAATGAAGGGTAGGCAACGGATCTGCAATTGCGGATGTTTATGTGCAGAGGTCGCTTTCCATTTCGGTGGATTTAGGTGGCTGCTTGCGAGTTTGCCACCTTATATTATAAAAAAAAATACGGAAAGGGAAGGGAAACTGGATTTGACGGAGACAGGAGGAAATATCCTATTTATGTACACATTATTAAGGGTAGGCAATACATATCTACTTTTAGACAACTTATTTAATTGATACTGTCGCCTTAAACTCAGAGCAACACTGCTCGTAAGAACTCAGGTTGCGCGCCAAAATACATACTTGTAGTGACATAGACAGCTGTCAGCTAGGGACGTGACGTTTATGTCGATAATCTAGTGTTGAGCCAATTCTACAGCGCGGTACTAATTTTTACTTAACAGTATTGCATACTCGTTTCGCTGTTGTTTTAATTTTAATATTTTATAATATACTAGCTTTCGCCCGCGATTTCGTTCGCGTGGAATAAAGAAAAAGTGAGTAGCCTATGTGTTTTTTTCAGACTATCCTCTACATCTATGTCAAATTTCATCGAAATCCGTTCAGCAGTTTAGGTTACAAACGCTAACAAACATCCAGCCATCCATCCATCCATCTAAACTTTCACATTTATAATATTAGTATGATTTATACAGGAATTGATAAACGACGACATAGTAGACGAGGCGGAAAATTCTCAGAGTGATGGAGAGAAGAATTCACCAAGTGATGTAAGTGTTGCCTCCTTTACTTATCTATTTCATATCGTCACCAGCTCACTAACGTCCCCAGCGAGGGGCTCGGAGCCTACCCTACTACAGGGTGACTAGGCCATAGTCAACCTGCACTGCGGGTTGACTTCACACATGTCTTTGAATTTCTTCTCCGATATGTGACATCACGATGTTTTCCTTCACCGTAAGAACGTCGGGTAAATTATGTACATATGAAAATTCGAAAAATCGAAAATCACATTGGTACAGCGGGGTTCGAACCCAAGACCTGTAGATTCGAATCTAGTGTTCAAACCACTGAGCCACCGACACTCTTCTATTTTATATACAAAAGGTAATAATAGAACATAGAAACCCCTTAGTACAGTTAGTCAATATTATGTTCCCCTTAGTATATTTAATACTAATCTTAACTCTTAAATATGCACTTGTATGTATAACATTCATTAAATATATCTAGATGCTAGATTTTTTTAATTTTTCCTCCATTTATAATACGGATCCTGCAGTAAATGTGATTTTTCGGAAATTTAAGTTAGGGATTAATTCTATTTTAATGACTATTAACGATTCTGAGTACGATTATTTTAATTTCCAGACTGAAGAGGAATCGACCACCAAAGCGGAGGGAGCTGGAGATGACAAGCCCAGCGAGGTGCGCAAGCGTCGCCCGCGCAAAGCTGACTAAACACCCCCTAAACATCCCCCCACCACTCCCCATTGTAGCCCAACAATCCGCCATACATGAAATATACAGTGGGTAACAGCTGAAACACTAATAAATCAACCCCTTCCTAAACATAATCTATTCCCGAATCATACAATCCCCCCTCTCCCTAATCACAATCCCCCAATTTCACAATCACCCCTCCAGAATTACAATCACCCCATCCCCTAAAATCTTGCACTTACCCTCTGGGGTCTAGGAAAAATGTATTAACCCTTCAATACCTACCCCACCCTAGACCTCCCCCACATCATACATATGTGTATGAAATAGGAGACATTTCTTTTTATTTATTTATGTGAACAGAGAATTTTAAAAACCTCACAACCCTGGGACATCCCCTCCATTTCTAGGCCTGTCCCTAGGCACTCCCCCCACTTTAGGGTTTAGAAAAGCAAGCATTCCCCCCTTTTTCAATTCAGATTAATATAAAACCTAGAAATGTCTCAATAACAGCACAAAGATTTTTTTTAAATAATTTTTGAGTGACAGGAAGAAAAAAGGTTTTTGTCTCTCATCACACCATCATCACAAATGGGGGTAAACAGTGCTCGAAAATTAATTTATGCTTTTTTACTTGATGTTTAGTTTTATTTAGAAAGCATTTATTTTACCATATATTTTAAATAAAGTATGGAAGCGAATAGTTTTAGACATTTTAATAATTATGTGAAAAATTACAAGTTTTCAATATTTATTTTAAAAAAAACTACAAAATCTCTTTGACTTGATAAATCATAAATCGCTTATATTAAAATATTTATTATAATCTAAATGTTAGGCCGACTAAGATCTCTGAGCTCAAATTATTGCATTTTTTTATAACATAATGAACCGGTTTCTCCATTTTTATAAAGAAATCTAACAATCATGAATGCGAAAGTTTTTGGATGGATGGAAAAAAATGGAGAAATCGTTTCATTACTATTTTAGCTTAAAAACTACTAAACTCTCATTCCTAAATATATTTATAACAAATAGTTTAGTATTTTTTACACTTGAGTTTTGTTTTTGCACCAAAATTTTAGTTTATTTAGTGTTTACACCAATTGTATGGGAATTTAACTTGTTATGTTCAATTTAAAAATGTTTGTAAATGTTGAAACTACGTACTTACGGAGATTATTATAATCGTATTAATCAACTTTTAATTATAAAATAAGTATTTTAACAGTAATGGAATTTTGAAAAATTTTGATGTGGGTAGTTTTAAAAAAACCTCTTAATAAATATTTAAAATTTTAAATGACATAATAATGGCTGACTTTTGACATTTGACAGAATGTCTGTATTAGAAACACTAACTTGTATGTTTATATGTTTTAGGCTTTTATTGTAATGTTTTCTGTTTCCGACTTGTGTAAACAAAATTGTTTATTCTAAGATTCTGTTGTAAAGCATTGTATTAACTAATGATTTAGTTTTTCGCTAAATAAATTAAACTTATTTATATTTTTGTTTTCTTTACCATCCTTTAATTAATAATTCTATAAAAAAAATAATTAAACACTGGGTTAACAGAAAAAAATCCTATGAAAGGTTCTTCGATATTTGATAAATTTAAATATTTAGCAATAGCCTAGCACAGAACAAAGTAACTTTGGATTGAGGTAAGTTGGGCCGAATCGTCATATATTGAATCTTAAAATAATCTTCACTACCAAAAGACTTAAGTTAAAAGTTTTTGTATTTTAAAAGCCATACAGAACTTATTTTTCCTTCAAGAAAATTACTGAAAGTGGACTAAAATTAGTCGTGCGGAAATATTTTGAGCCTGATTTGGCGAGTCGAAAATCGAAACGGCGAATACGATACCTGTCTATTAACTACGGCATCTGCCTTTATACAAATTTGATTCAATACGTCATATGCATTATTTATCAAACTAATCTATCTTATTTAAACTATAAGTAGTAAGTTTTGTTACTGGTATAATTTTGACTATGGCCACCCGCCATTTTGACCCACTGCTTTGTGTCCTTTCATGAAAACTGGGTTAAAAAAAAAAACAAATACATCATTCAAATGTCTCTTTATTCACGTATGTACATAAAATAAGTATCGAGATAATTTCATGTTCGCTAAATGTAGGTAAATAATTTAGTATTTTAATACAAATAAGATTACACAAGGGTACAGCGTATAGAAAATGATTTAAACAAGATTATAGGAGATATTCGTGTTTATGCAAATATCAATTTATTAGCCAAAATACTACTAAAAAGGAAGTACAAATTCCACATTCAAAAGATACAATAAAAATTGGGACGATCCTCAAAAAACATTTCTAAATTCTACTAATACCGAAAAATATAATAAAAATCCATGGTGGGGTACGGAGTTTAATAAATATTTATAATTAAATTCAAAGCGATTATTGTCGAGATCTCAAATACATATTATTTATAAAATAAAACACTAAAAATCAAGCATGCGATCTGCACAATTAAAAAATATCATTCACGTCAAATACAAAGAGGCTTAAAATTCATCTTCGCTCTTTGGATTCTTAAAAAAAAACTTCAAACATTTAAAAAAAGAAGATTTGGCGCCAAAACACAATAAGGCGACGTATTGGCGCAAACACAACTAACCTAACCTAAAAACTCATTACTAAACAAATGTAAAAATCCTTAACTAAGAAAGATTACGGACACAAATAAAAAAATCAAACAAAAAAAGACTAGATCGTTAAAATTAAAATCTATTACAATTATTGCTTAAACTATCAAATCATACATAATCACAAAATATACCGAGATTTCATTACAATTGCGATTTCTGAAATAAAATAGTCAGTTGACTTTCTGTAAATCGACAAACTTTTAAATTTAAATTTAGAAATATCAGTCGAAAATTGATAAAATAAATTTCATTATATTGTTTCAAACAAAGACATTTTAAACTAAGACCGTGCCCACACCTTTGACTAAACTATCGCACAACCGTTTAGTCTCGCTTTGATTCCTATGAGCTTATATGGAGGTGCGAACTCAATTTTTAGTTGTACAACTAAACAGTTGAATCGACAATTGCAAACTGTTGGTGCGATAGTTTAGTTTCAGGTGTGGCTTTTAAAAAACATATGCAAGATCACTTTAAGTCACAACTAGCTTTTGCCCGCATCTTTGTCATCGCGGAATTAATAAAAAAACAGTAACTAGTCTGTATTCTGATAAATTTACACACAATTACATTATTTCTGATAAAAAATATAATATATGTGTAACAGACATCTTCACTGACAGTTAAGTGTTTATTTGAAACAGATAATAAAACCGATCATAACGTCGAATTATCAGAAATCAACAATAGTCATAACCAAACATAAATACAGAATTTCTAGCATTTTTCATATTTAAAAGGCTGTATAAAATACCACTGACAAACGGTTATATTGACAGTGGAACTTATGTTTTTAAACTGAAAAAAATCGAATTTCTTTTTATACAAGACCTATTTACAAGACGGAAATTTAAACGTTTACAAATAAATATAGATTTTTTAAAATAATTTAGACAAGGTAATAACTGAAAGTTTTCTTTTATAAGGCAAATACAATTTGGTAATTTTTTTTAAAAACAACGCTTATGAGCATATAAATATAACAAAATTATTACTTTTTAGTATTCTTACTTTTGCAAAAACCTAGAAATTATAAAAAAAAAATTGATACTTTAAATTCCCGCCTTTAGTTAATCGCCTAAGTTAATCGAAAAACGAAAAATCTCAACATTATTTGGAGAACAGCTTTTCTAAGATTAGTGGTGGGCCGCGAATTTATTATCAAAATAATACAAAAAAATAAACAAATCCACTAAGGAGCTATAATTTCCAATACTTTTCACAAAAGGGTACCAATTTTTCCATAAAAGGTTTTAAATTTTCCATAAACAGATCATAAATTTTCATAAAAGGGTAATCTGGAATATTGTTACCAATTTATTTAATGTTTCAATTAATTGGAATTTGGTAGAAATACGTTTAAATAATTATTTCAAGCAATTAGTATAAAAGCAAAACGGTTAAATACGAGGCAGTGATAGTCATTTTGGTCGTTTCGGCCATTTTTCTTAGAAAAAAAAAAACAATTTTAGAATAATATTGGAAAAACGCTTGGAAGAGAAACCCTAGTCGGTTTAAATTGACTTCTTTTAACATTATTATAAGAGATATTTCACTTGTCATATTTTCATGTCGACAGTAATGGTAATATAACAAATATAGACAGACAAATTTATTTGACCCGGTGGATGACAATTTAATGAGAACTTTGTACTGTAGTCACGTTCATTACTCATAATTTAACGGTGTTTTTTGAGCAAAAAAAAACTGTTTTTTTTAGTAGTCATATTTTTGGATATGAGTTTTTTTTAAATTAGTTGTTCGTAACATTGCGGTTCCCGGGTCAAACAAGTGTGTCTGACTATACGACAAGTTTCAACAATATATTATATTCAATCTGTGAATTCGAACACCAAAAGTCAAGCCTATCACTGCTAACTTATCCTAACTTATCCTATTACAACGCCATCTTAAGTTTAGTCAAGCAATATGGCGTATAGAGTATTTTATATTTAAGTATAGCATTAAAGCAAATTCTATACATTTTTATACTAGTAAATAATCGACTTATATTGTTCATAACTTGGTTTACATACTGGCTTTCGACACTTACTTCTCTTATGTCAATTACGAAAAGAGATATCAATAAAGTGTCGAAAACAGTAACGTAACCACTTATCTGTACAAATGGATAGATTTTTGCGTGGAAATAATACTTTTCCAAATTCAACGGCGATTGATGTTAATTCTATCTCTATTATTAGTTCCAATTCGTACCACCGCGAGTCAAGATGGCTAAAATACACAAAACCTATCCATTTATAATGATCAGTGTAAACACTTTATTTAAAACAAAGCTAACGCATGCATATCTTACATTTGGATTACTAATTGACCTAAGTCAAACATTGACTTGTCTCTTAGTTCCCATCGCCGAAGCTTGTGTAAACATGTTTTTGTATAAGTTTCTGCAATGGGAACGCAAGAATATTCAATACATTATTATCATAAAAATGGAAGGTTCCAGTATACATGTACGACAAAACTTCGATAAAAATATTGCAAATAATTTTTTTAACATCTCATTAGGAACCCAATATATTATGCAAAGCATTATAATTTATTTGTAACTAAAAAACATCAAATTTTCAATCTTACTGTACAAAAACAATGACAGACTTGCAAATAAACGCTGTATATAGTTAAAATTAGAAAGAAATTAAATATAAATACTAATATAAGTACAAATTGTGCTTATATTCAGTTTATTCCTAAGTTTAATTTTATACCGCGATTATTTGTAAGGCTGTGGTTGTTTAAGAAACATGCCAGCAAAAGTATTTAAAATATTATTATTTTATTAATCCCTGAAAGGCTAAATAATAATTGAATTTAAGCTGAATTTATTACTTAATAATTAACGACTGTGACACGACTTTTTCAACATTTTGGCAAACGTCTTTGAAAAATTTTTCGTCGATATATTTGCAATTTTTTGCCAAGTAAGCGATTTTATTTATAGTAATTTTGTATTAAAACACCGCCTTTGCCCAAGATATCAGATAGCCGATTTAAATAAGCAAATGTCCGTTGTTTTATTTACATTTTAATATTATAGTTATTTATGCCCTTTAGTAGGATACAAAATTAAAAAAAAAAACTAAAAAATAAAAGAGAAAAGCTACTATAATTATTATTTCTTCAGCGATTAAGACAAAAATATCGATGTTTGAAGAGTTTAAAGATTTAGTTGGAAGACCAACTTTTTTTAATTATTTTAAAAGTACAAAAGTTTTAGAATAAAATGCAAAGGATACGAATAAAATCAGAAACACTTCTTGTTGGCTTGTTTCTTACACAACTGGACTGTTTTTGTTAAGCAAGATTGTTTGAACACAAAGTTTTTTTTTTATTAAAAAAAAAACATGTTTCAGAAATAAAAATTCGAATTGAAACAAATCGGTGGTTCAAGATTTTTTCCTTACAAATAAAAGATGTTTTATTTAATGTTAAAATGAACCATTGCACGTATAAAATTAAATAACTAATACATATGAGAATTTAAAACTAAAATGCAATAAACATGTGATGTGAAATTTTAATAAACATTTTATTAATAATAAATAAAATAATTTATAATATTCAAAAACGAACGTTTGTCATCAATCGATTATAAATAGGTTCTTTTTTATGTTAAATTACATAAAATTCCATACTTTCTAAAAAGTATTCAATCAAAATGCATTAAAAATACAGAACTGTCACTTTGACAGCTGTGCAATGGTTCAGAAACAGAATTTTGTCAAGCGAAAAAAAAATCACACAAAACACGAACGTTCAGAAACTGCTTAAAATCAATCGAATAAATAAATATTTCGGTTTTATATAATTTTAGCCTCAAAATAAAGTCTTAATTAATTCAATGTTCGTCGATAGATTATTTTACAACACAGTGTATATTGTCCCTTGTTTACCATAGAGGTTATAACGCTCTACTGGAGATCACTTTCAAAGATTAAAAAAAAACTTCATACTCTTTGACAGTATCATAGATTATACATGTAGACATGACTATATCTCGATTTTACACCTATGGTTTGTATTTCTTCATACATTACGAGGTTTCAACAGAAACATGCGTAGAACCGAGACATATCTATCCCCCAGTAGGCGTCCAACTGATTTCTGAAAAAGTTTTTATATGAAATGACAATTTTTAATTCAACTTCATTAAATTAATTAGTAATTTCTACAATCTTGTCACTTAATAATAATAATGCGTAGTTTCACTTATCTAAAATTACTATTTCTGGTTAATTCGTGACTATTATCCTAAAGAATAAAAAAAACTTACCATCAAGGGTCCATAGGGTGCGGGGGCGAAGCGCCGCAACTGCTGTCCTCAGAGTGCAGGGTCTCGCCCATGTCGGTGCCCACCTGAAACATGTACAGGTAAAACTGTGTAATGTGTAAAAATGAGTAATATGTGCAACTGTGTAATATGTACAGCTGTGTAATATGTTCAACTTTATATTGTGTACAGACGTGTGACGTGTAGAACCTTGTAATGTGTACAGACCTTCAGCACGTCGTGCAGCGAGCTCATGCTGCCCAGACTGAGCGGGGTGATGGAGCGCTCCAACAGGGAGCCACTGCCCTGCGACCCGCCGCCGATAGACCTGTCAATATACATACATTTGTAGATAGTACTAATATTATAAATGAATGGATGTTTGTTAATTTGTAACCTAAACTGCTGAAGGGTCCTTGATTAAATTTGTCATTGATGTAGAGAATAATCTGGAAGAACAGATAGGCTAATTGCTTTTTCTTTTTTTTTGTTATTCGACACAGTCACGGGAGAAAGCTGGGCATTATACTAAGAGTCAATAACTATTAAACTAGAGGTGGCTTTTACCAATTTTCTCATACTAGACAACTTTTTAATTTAATTTAATTCAATTTTCTACTGGCTATGTATATTTCTACAATATGCATGTTAATATATAACCTGTCCATAGCCCTCGTCATCGTATCCCCGGCGCCGTCAGTCGTGTCACGACGTCGCCATGACCCTGGAAACAATATACATTTACACTCACAGTCTACAAATCGACACTAAACTACATATAAAGATAATTTCGTGTAATAAAGTACATAATACAAATATGTGTGTACTAACCGTTATAAGATCCGGTGCCATGCGATATTGTTAGCGGCGAGGTCCGTTTGCTGCTATCCCGACTGCCGTACAACTGCATACAACAATTCATTATTAATCTATAATGTCACGCGTGTAATAGTCATAAGTGTAATATCGTTACGTAAAATGTGTAATATGTAAAAGTATGTCGTATGCGTAGTGTGGCATGTAACGTATTACTATGACGTAAATAATTAATAAATAAATGCTTTTTTGTTTCCCTCGTACACACTTCATGGGAGCTTTGGTTCCTGCACTAGATTCCTCTGTGTCACAGGAGTCAATCCCTTACCCATTAGTTCATAGAAAAACATTTAGTTCCAAAATAAAGATAACAAACGATGTGTACAGTGTAATAATGTAGCGTGTAATGTGTAATAGTGTACCGTGTATTGTGTAATAGTGTGCCGTGTTTTGTGTAACAGTATACAGGTTATTGTGTAATAGTGTGCCGTGTATTGTGTAATAGTGTACAGGTTATTGTGTAATAATGTGCCGTATATTGTGTAATAGACGTTACACGAGTAACAGTGTCCCGTGTATTGTGTAAAAGTGTTTATGTGTAACGCATGCTCACCTGTTGGTGGTGGTCATCGGCAGTCTCTAGTGTGGTGGGCAGGTCCAATAAGCGCTGCGAGCGGATGCCGTCTCCGGGGCCCATGTGTGACACGTGCGCGAAGTTCGTAGGCGCTGAGATAAGACGAGAACGGCGCTCTGACCTGGAATGTAACACATTTTATTGTTATTGTAACCTTAAATAACTCTAGTATGATTGTTTTTCCAAGGAGGCTATAAGTGTTGATTTCTCATACTTAATCTACACTGAAAGGGTCGTTTTAACGACTCTGACTGCGACATAAAAATATTACAGACTAGCTGTTGCTCGCGACTACATCTGTGTGAAATTAAAACTAGTAAAATATATAGCCTATGTTATTCACTGATAAATTTTTAAATAGGCCCTGTTGTTTTTGATTTATTTCAATACATACAAAAATATTGATTTGTTCCTCTTCATAGATAAGTAGCATATAACAATATAAATAATTTTAAAGTCTTACAATCTGTTATGCGCCTCAATGGCTTGATGAGATTGTTCCCGCACTGAGAACCTTCGCTTGTTGCTGCCCCACGACGTCGTCTCCAGATTTAATGGACCCTCCGCTGGAAGTACAAACAAACAATAAGACCGAGACGCGGATTTTCACCTTTTACTAACAGATATGAGTTATAAAATCATTTTGCGTCAATTCGACCACTAAATGTCCCTTCCCATAATTTGCTAGTATACAAATAATACAAAACTCAACAAATAGCATTTCTCGACAGAATAGCCGATTAACATACAACTTTTTTTTCATTTATTTGGGTAAAAGAACAATAGCACAAGAAAAAAAAATGAACAGTAAAATTTAAAAAAAAATGAGTAGATGCAATCCACAACTCTACCACGTAGTAACAAACTTACCAGTAAACAGCGGTCTTAAATAGACAATAAAAGGCGCAGAATCCGAAGAGAATGGGAATCCGTTACTTCCTGCGCCGCCAACACACACTATGTACCCGCACTCGTCCAACGGACGGGAGTTCGCTGCAATACACATTAAATTACACATGATTACACATTACACACCTGATATACCACTACATAAGCGAAAGGTGTGTATTTACACAACCGCAAAATGTGTATTTATCTTGAAATAAACGTTGACCTTTATTCTAAACAATTACACATTTGATTTACACTTAATCGTCAAAAGTACGTAAATATTCTGTGAGATGTGTGTGAGGCTTTGATATCAAAATTTATATCGTTACACATTACATATAATCAAACATATTTTTATTTCATATGAAAATTTTGCTTTTCATGACATAATTTTTATCTTTTTTTGATATATTTCTGAGTATAATTATGATTTCTAATTATTTGTTAAAACTTACGTAGATTTAGAGTTTGTACCCACTCGCCGGACTCAATCTCGTAGATATCGATGTGCGACGAGGTGAATATCAACAAGTGAGTGTCGTTTATAGCTGAAACAGACATTATTCTCGATTAGACCTTTATAAACATGTAACATATCACTGAAACACAACGGTACAATAAAATTCAGCAATCTAAAATCATTACATCATAGCAGAATGGCACTTTTACGTCAAATTAATACTACAGTACAATCAAAACAGCTAAGTACCAATCTTACAAGTGTTTACAGTTGATTTCAGTTATATTTAAGCCGGAAATAGTTTTTTTTTCAGTAAACATGGAACATGGGCTGCATGATTTTAGTCATTTCTACAAGAATCTTACCAACATTATACAATTAAGATCGATCATGATCAATGATGACCAGTCACATTAAGTCATGATCAATAACGCTCAGTCGTGACCATTCACGATCGATCATGACCAGTCACGTGCAATCATGACCAGTCACATTCCTGCTCACCGTGGTATAGCGGCTGCGCGGTGTACATGATCTCGGCGTCGCG